ACCAGCCCAGCTGCCTGCTGACCCTGTGCTCACATGAGCAAACTCATCCTCACACCTCTCAGCATGGAGAAGCGTCCATCCCCTGGCAGCACCACTCTGCTTCCAGCTGCCTCCTTGCATTCCCTTCTACCAGAATCCTATGGAGCAGCACCTAAAGCAGGATTAAGAGCTGAGATTATTGCTAATGCTGAACTTTGCCTTGTCAGGAATATGATTTTTACCTACAGAATACAGCGTAATACATTCATAATGCCTCCAACATACCACTAGAAACTCCACATGGAAGAAAAGTTGTTCTTGACACATAGATTTTCCAGCACTTTTGAATTACACAGAGCAAATAAGACTTCACATCTGTTAAATGTAGCCAATTATTTAGGTAACAATAAAACTGCATGGACCAGCTTGCTGGCAGGCATTAGGTGCATCAGTAGCAACAAGCACCAATACTTAGAGATTGAAGGAAATTAGAGCTTGCCAAGAAACACAGAAGCCTTTTAATTTTTTTTGAAAGTTTACCCTCTCCTATTTTCAGCTTTCCTTGAAATTCACTCAGAGTAACCACAAAAAATAGTTCTCCTCAATCTTTTAAAAATTGCATCATCGCTCCATTCACTAAAACCAGCAGCATCTTACTGAAAGTTAGGAGAAACAGCAATGAATTGGCAATGAGTTCTAGGCCTATCATTAGCACTAGAGAAAAACAACGCTATGGCATGCTGAGTTCCTCCCAGTGAGAACCCAGGAGCCCCACGGGGTACCGTGCAGGAAATTAGCCCTGCCCCAGGAATGAGCTCCTTTAGCCCAGCAGGAGGGGCTCTGCTGGGGCCTTTGGGGTTGTACCCAGGTCCTACGCAGACACCAACATCTGGGCACACGTGATGCGAGTGGGAAGCTTGAACCAAGCGACGCGGAGAGCAAGAAAACTCTTCTTGTGGAGTGAAGGAGACTGTAGAAGCTGATCGGATTAAAATCATCTGGAAATGACACAAACACTCCGAAGCAATTCTCACATGGCTCTCACAATCCTCCCTTGGCAATGCTGGCCCACCAGAGCAGGACCTGGTGGCCACTGAAATGCCCCATGCAAGTCCCTGAGGCCAGCTGTGATCCAGCTGCAGCCCAGCCACACAGGCAGCCCCCAGTGCCCCAGCAGGATCCACCCTTAGGTTTCACTGGGAAAGGCACAACCCCCTTCTAGGGAAAGAGGTGCCCAGCTCAGAGCCGCGCTTGTAAGCTGTATTCCTTTTTAAATAATCTCATTTCTCCTGTGTCTACAGCAGAAAGCAGGCACTGCAACTTTCATCCTTCTCACTTAGTACTGAGGCACCCGCAGAAGGAAATACAGTAAAAGCACCCAGGGGATATAAAGGAGTTTCAATTTACACTCCCAATCTAGTCGTACACCTTCATCCCACTCTGTTTTCTAAACTGTTTCCTGAAGGGGCACAGTAATGTGTCTTATGGGCCACAGGAACCATCACTGATGTAAAGCAAAAGGCATTCAGATGAAGAACAGCTGCTGATTGACTATTTAAAACTACATCCGCCGAGGACAGAAACCTGGAGCAGTAATTAGTTCATTATTAAAGCCCGTAATGAGAAGTCTGCAGTTCTAAGGGCATCCAAAGATGAGTTTTCCAGTGTAAAACAGAAAAGAAATCGGTGTGCTGATTCTCTCCACACTTCATGGTTTAACTCATAGAAGATATGATACATCTGGCATTGTTTCAGCATAGTTACTGAATTTCATGGAGTTGAATTCACAGGGAAACCTATGACACTGTAAAGTAACAATTTATTCTTTTACAATGTGAAACCAGCAGCCTAAAAAATGCATTGCCTTGAAATCTCCGGTGCGTTTAGAAAGAGCTTCCCAAACTGTTTGTCTTATTTTTAGAGCAGATATTTAATTTACAATCTGCACACTGCTTATCTCATGCTCTCACAGAATTGTAATGTGAAGAAGTCACCCTACTTGACACACTTCAGTATTTATGCCTTTATCTCCATGCTCTGCTGCACGCATTGCTCCTCCTGTTGCATCCATGCTGCACCCTGGCAGAGATGACGCAGCCCTCTTCCCCAAATTTGCAGCTTAACAAACATTCCCAAATGACATTCTGCAGCGTCCTAGAAAAATCTATGACGAGGCATCACCTTCCACGCAGCAAAGGAAATGCAACTTCTTGCACAGAAGCCCACATCCTTCAGCAAGGCAGCGTGAGGACCCTGACGGTTCCAGCCCACGGCTGAGGCGCCCAGCAACGCTGCCCGGGGCTGGATGGGAACGTTGCGGTCTCCCCACCCCACTTCTGAGAGGAGGAAATGAAATAACAACGAGGTGCTAAAAGCAAAGCATTCAGCTGGAGGCACCCCCATCTCCATCCCTTTCACAGCGAGTCACTGTCAGGCCCAGGCTGCTGCCTTCAGAGCAGCACGGGATGCTCCCAGCAGGATCAGGGCTGCTGGTGAGATGCTCCCAAACATCTAAACTAAAGCATCTTGCTTGAGGTCCACACAAAACCGACGGCAAAACCAGACCTCGAATTCCAGCTGAAAGACATCTTCCTTCCTTTAAATCCTGTGCACGGTTGCATCTCTCATCAGCTGTAATTGTGGAAGAGAAATCCTCGTGCACTTGGCCTTTGGAGGCACACTGCCCTCCCTGGCAGCACCTGCACCTGTCACAGAACGACCTGCACATCCCCTGTGCCCCACAGAGCAGCAACCCGCTCCATCACACAGCCACAGCCGGGGAGCAGCATCCCTCATGGGGTTTAGCCCTTCCCCAGGCTCCAGGCAGAGCCCTGCCCCAGCCCATCCCAGCTGCTCCCGCTGCGAGTGCCACTCAGCTCCAAGAGATGCAAGCAGGACTTGTCCTTTGATCACACAGAATAAACCGACATATCTTTGCATGTTTGGTTTTTTTTTCTTCTTTTTTACCAAACAAAAGCTTCCACAAAGCTTCAAACAGTAACGGCACAGATGAATTCAAGTCAGAGGACCTCACTATAGCTTTCCATGCTGCTGCACCTGTTGGCATTGGCTGGAGATGCTCCCAGAGCTCTGTGCTGTATCAGGGACAGACGGGTGAGCTGCACACATGGCTGCTGCAATTCCATATGCAGAGAGCAAGAGGAATGGCCCAAGCCCTACCCCTCCTGCAGAGAAAGCCCATAAGCATCAGTAGCTGCCTGAGGAAACCCCGCTGTGCTCTGCGTGGGTTATATCCATTTCTTTCCCCACACATTGAGGTACAGCGTGAGTACTTCGGTTCTCTTCCAAAACACTGTCAGAGAAATGCAACCACCAGTAATGTCTCTTTGCAGAAGCCTCCACAGATGGAAGGAGACACTGGGGAAAAGGCAGCCTATGCACAAAACCAAATGTCTGGGAGCCCCCACCCCCTCACCACAGGGTCAGCAAATGCTGCAGGGACCTACGAGAGCTACATGGGAAGCAGAAGCGAATGCATTTTAGCAAGTGTGCAGGTTAATAAGTTTGTTGCTGTGTATCTTTCCAGTACCTCGTTGCTTCTCACTCCCCACACAGCTGCACTCTGTCGCTTAACAGGTCCTCTCCTGCTCCTACCTCAAAATTCTTATTATTTCTCCCTGGCTGGGATGTGCTCTGAACTGTGCTTTGAAGGATGACAAGGATGAGAGTTCTAGCAGTTCTAGCACACAGAAAATGTGCTTAAAGCAGGCAGAACCAATCTGCAGATACATAGAGTGATCTCTCAGCGTGCACCAGTTCCTGCATTCTGGATGATTTGAATAAAGAGCGATTTGGAACAGATGCTTAGTCACAACATGTTAAAATGTTTAGAGATATATAAATATCGCTACGTGCAGGAACTGCTCAAATGCCTCATTTTCTGCAAACTCCCTTATGTAACATCAACAGATCTCGCAGGTACCGTGGTGTTACAGGAGGGCTCGGAGCGCCCGGGCTTCCCTTCCCAACGGGATCTCAGCGCCCAGGATTCGCCGTGGCTGCGGCTCGGTACCGACAGCTGCCGGCCCGCTGAGCCATCCTCCGGCACAACTTCGGCCCCGGTTCGGGGGAATCGGGACCGCAGCCCACGGAGGGCTGTCGGCAATGCGAGAAGTGCGGAGCGAAAGGAGCGCCGCGCAAACAGCAGCCTCCGGAGACAGCATCCCAGCGCCGGTACGGCCGCGCAAATTGCCGGGGATTCAGCGCACCGCAGTCTGCCGGGCGGGGGAGGAGAGCGAGGAAAACAGAACCGCGTCCTTCGTGCTCTCTGGGAAGAACGGACAGTACCGAGACCAGAGCGACCGGGCAGGTTCCGCACCGCGCCGGGCGGCTGCCCCGGCCCCGCGGATGGGGACGCGAAGCGGCGGTGGCTGCTGACACCAGATGGGCTCTGTCGGGAAAACCTCCACAAGTTTCCAACGGGGAGAAGCGGGGGATATCTCCGCCCGCTGCAAAAAGAAAAAAAAAAAAAAAACCCATACAAAATAATAAAAATAACCCCACCAGCACCTTCCGCGTGCGAAGGCGGAGGATAGGAAGCGAGAAACTCCGCCGCTCGCGATGCATCTGGTGGCGGTGCTGCCGCTGTCCCCGCGCTGCGCAGCGCCCAGAAACGGCGGATCCCCTGGGGGTGGGGGACGAAGCCTCCCCCCGGTCCCCGGCCCGGCCGTACCCCGCCGCCGAGCCGTATTTCTCCCTAACGCAAACCCATCTCAATCACCGCCTTTATTTTTTCCTCTCCTCCTTTCCCTTCACGGATTGCTTCTTGCAAATGGGGCGATAAATCCAGAAAGTGCCATGCTCCGTAAAGAAGGGAGACGGGGGAGGATGCTGGCATAGCAGGGGCGGCTTGGAGGGAAACGAGAGGCTCCGGAGGGGAAGCGAACGAAGCACCTGAGGGGCGCCGGCAGAGTTCGCCTCCGCCGCGCGGCTCTGCACGGCTCGGTTCGGCACGGCTCGTTCGGTTCGGCCCTCCGCTACCCGGCGCCGCGCAGCCCTACCTGGAAGAGCCGGAGGATGTTGGCCACCATAATAGACACGGAACTTCCCGACGCCCCGATCACTCCAACTACTTTCTCCGGCTTGACGAAGACGGGCGGCTCCCCGTTGGTGCACCTCACGTCGGAGGTGTCCTTCTGGATGAGCGCCTGCACGAAGGTGAGCGACTGCTCCAGCGCGTAGGTGTCTCGGGAGCAGGTGTCCAGGATGCGAGCGCCCAGCGTGACATTGGGCAGCAGCTCCGGATCGCTGTTGATCTGGTCCAGGGCGTAGAGCATCGCTTCCAGCCTGTGGATGCCGTTCTCTTTCTTAATGTCCCCGCAGGGCACGCCCGGGGGACCTTTGGCGTGGACAGGGAAGAGCCCCCCCAGCGTGATGTCCCCCTCCAGCCGGATGGAGTGCGGCGCGTACATCTCCTGCCCCAGGGCCGCCTCGGAGAGCAGGAACTCCAGCAGGCAGCAGGGCAACTTCACCAGAGTCAGGAGCCGCAGCAGCCTGCCCAGGCGGAGCATGGTGCTGCCGGTCGTCCCCGGGCGCTGCCCCGCGTCCCCCTGCGCCTTCATCCGCCCGCCGGGGCGCCACGCGGGGCTCGGGGCGGGATGCGGGGCTCGGGCCGCTCCCGCCCGCCGCTGCCTCCGCCGCGCTCCGCGGCAGCTCGGCACAAGGGAGCCGCGCCGCGCCGCTGCCGCTTTAAATGGTGGCCGGGGCCTCTCCGCCCCCCGCCCCCTCCGCCGCCCCGCCCCGGGGCCGCCGCTACGCAGGATGCGGCCGAGCCGGGGCCGGGCGTGGAGGCGGTGCGGTCGCGGCAGCTCCGGCAGTTCGGCCTGGCGGGGCTACAGGTGGAGGAGCGCGGTCCGGCGGAGCCGGCTATGGACGGGCAGCGGCGGGGACGTGCGGAGCTGGGGATGGATGGGCAGAAACGGGGGCGAATGGGCAGAGCCGAGGGCGCAGAGCCGGAGCAGCCTCGCTCCCCAGGTCCGGGAGCCGGGGCAGGGCGGGCAGGAGGCGAGCGGAGCCCCCGGTCTCCGAGGAGCCGCGGCCAGCATGGCCGCGGCAACCGGAGCGACGTTCCGGCCAGCCCTCGGCGTCAAAGCGGAGAGCCTGGCTCTGCCATGGGAGCGCATCCTCCTTGCCGCTAATACCGGTGGAGCCAGTGAGGAGAAGGAGGAGTTTGGATGTAACCCCATATTCCCGAAACAGAAGTAATGCAGCTGATTTCATGCTTTTTTTTTTTTTTTTTTTTTTTTTTTTGTAAGAGCTCCAGACCCGTTTTGTCCCGTGCACCAAGATTTCAAGGATGCTAGAACATCTGGTTTTGTCCCATTCAGCCCCGAACTGTAATAGCCAAGGAGATGAGACCTGTTGCTGTTCTGTGCTGAGCAGCAAATCCACATCCTGTCCCTTCCCAACTCGAGAGTAATGCAAAATACAGTTCTAATGTCTGGTTCCTGCCAGGCCAAGCACATAATTTTAAAAACTGTCTTTCATTCCTTCTGCACAAACACTGGGTCAAGCAGAGCTGCTGTGCTGTCCTCCAGCCCCACCAGCCAGAGCCAATGCCAGCAATGCCCACACACATCTCAGCTCTGTGCACGGGCTCAGCTGCTGCTCAGTGTGTCAGCAGTTCCTCCCGAACCATTCCTTGATAACATCAGCCTCAGCCCCTTTCACATCTCAATGCGTGTGATTGAATGTAAGTAAGCTCTTCAGTGCCTATTTACCTCTTGGCCACTTGAAGCTCCTCATCCAGAATCTTTGCTGTATTTATTATCATTAAAAAATCCAACTCTAGTGGCTGTACAGGAGAGGTTGCAAGCACGACTCAAGCTCACCTTAAGTGCTCAAGCTTCAGAAAGAATTTAAATATCAACCATCTTTTCCAATAGATCACATTGTTCTGTGGGATGCTAGTATATGAATTCAGAAGTTTTTTTAAGTTTTTTTTTTTCTTTTCTATTTTCTTTTTGGCAAACCCGTGCCTCGTTTCGCAGGAAGCTGCCTCATCAATTTGAGAGCTTTCTTGCTTTTTAACCTTTTATATTTTTTTTTTTCCTTGGGCAAATCCACAATTACATTCAACATGTTTATCCTCTCAGAATTGCAGAAAACCCATCTGCCGTCTACTCCATGGTTCTTTTCATCACACCCTGCTTACCTAAAAAATTAGTCTATGTATTCCACAGCAGATTCCCTGTGGGAACAAAGAAAATGACACACTTGATCAAGGTAGACCTGGGATCTGTCCTAGCCCACTATCTTGCCTTGGAAGCAGCAGATGCTGCAGAAGAAAAGACAGGAGCTCTGCAGCATGCAGATGCCTTTAATCTGCTCCTACCATAAATCTCACCCTGAATCTCATATATAGGAATTGGTTTAAACCATGAAGCATGAAAAATTATTTTAATTACATTCCAAATTTTATCTAGTCAATCATTACTCTGGATATTCTAGATATCCATAAACACACCCAGTCCCTTTTCCACTTGGTTTCAATGGCACCTGGTGGTAACGAATACCACCGTTTGATTGGACACTGCCTGAAAAAAGTCCTGCTTTTGCCAGTTTTCTATTTCCTGCTTTGTTAAGTCTTAAAGTAGTCAGTAATCTCCCCTTTATTGTGCATGTTCTCCTTCCACTGCATGCAGTTTTCTACCTACATTCGTTCCTGTGCTTGCAGAGAAGAAACTGAAGCCAATAACCCAATCGCCTGCGTATCTGTGAGTGCCATGATTTACTTTGAAGGAACTTGTCATTTGGTTTGGATTATTGGAAACCTGGAGGTGAGACAACGCCGGCTAAATACCATCTTCAACACGTCACTCACATGTCATGACATATCACAACATAGCTGTGCTTCAGAACCCGTGCTGCATGGCAGCCCCTGCCCTGCTGGATCTAAAAAGCATTTCTCCTCACCACCAGAACGGTTCTCCTCTGCAAGGATTCAGCCCCTGGTTCCTCAGCATACATTACGTTCTGTCCACTCCAGGCTGAACTTTCCCACTCTTAAAGCTGTCAGCGAGGATTTAGAGTTACAACATACTAAATCACGTTAAACTTGTATCCTAATCTGAAATGGCTCTCAGAAAGCAATGTTATTACGGTAAAGCTGCAGAGTGACAACGTATATATTTAATGGGAATATTGATAGAAGCGTATTTTTATTTTTCCACTGGTGGGAAAGTCGTTTCAATGTTATGCTTAGTATTTCACCTCATAATTAGTCATTCTTGAGCTACATCAAACTCCCAGCAAAAGTCACTCCCTAAGTTCCCAGAGAGCGGCGAATGCTTTCTTTAGATGCCCTAATTCAGTGCTGGAGCACTGTGCTCACATAGGAGCAGGTTGTAGGCCCGGAGTGATAGGAATGAAGCTATTCCATTTCTGTCCCTGAAAGCAGCAGGGGAGAGGAGGGCTGCAGGGCGCTGCAGAGCACAGGAGCAGTGCTGTCCCTGCCCCACCTCTGGGGATGCCCTCTGCCTCCCACTGGGAAGGTTTGCTTCACAAAGAAACCAAAAGGAGACATAAAACAGGACTTCACAAACATCCTAACCCGATCCTTTCAGCAATGGAATTTGTTTAGTGGTTAAACTAGTGGTTAAACACACGCAAAAGCAGAGTCACAAACATTTCTTAACTTGTCTGTCAAATAAGATCATGGATTCAGCCAAGTTGGTACTGGATAAGAAAAGACATTGCCAGAATGATATCAGCGTCCTTTGGGGAGCAGCACCATTTCCATCACAAGAGGACCTGACCCGCATCTACTTTCAAAGAAGCTGTATAATTAAATATTGCTTTTATGTGGGCAGCTGGCAGGGTGAGCACAAAATCGCGTTACGACAGATCCATGGAAGCAAAACAAAGAGCTGTGGAAAAGCAGGAGAGAGAAATAAGACAATATTTCACATCTTGGTAATGTAGCATGCTGCTGCCGTGCATGGTTGGAGGTCATTTTGAACAACTGTAATGGACATGGTACAAGCAATTAATTTGTTGGGTGAAGTCAGTGTTGGGATGGCAGCCAGAGTGCCTGCTTATCTGGTGTTTGGAAAATAATGAATTTTTGGAGCAGAGGCTCCCGAAAAATCCTGATCCTTAACTCAGTGTTTGGCTGTAGCTGTTTACAAAGAGAAAGTGTCAGCGCAGTGCTGGCTGCCAGGGAGGTGGGGAGAGCAAATCCTCTTCAAGGATGCAGCGGCCTGGATCTTTTGGTAGATCTGGCCTCACGTAAAGTCAGATCTAGCAAAACGTGTGCATGTATTTATATTGTTATTATAAGCTGTTAGATTGAAATGTTGAATTTGTATATATTAAATATGAATTATTGATTGCATATTTATTATGTGTGCATTAAGACTGTAAATATAGAATAAGTGTTAGGGGTTGTTCTTCATTCTGTGCAGAAATACACACCTGGAACACAGAGCACTTGGTCGAGCACTCTGCAGTAATGCGTGACTGTGGTCCCATACAAAACCAAATGGATGGAGCAGTGTGGCTGATCTCAGCTCCCTCCTGGAGAAGAACATTTACTTGATGTGCTTTAAAAGGCCCACAGATTTACACACGCAGTTGTTTTCCATTTCCAGCCATCTCCTGGATCCTGCCTCCTCTGCACACACTGTTAACACTTGAGGAGACCCCCCAGCTGCAGCCAACCTGCTGCACCAGAGCCATTGGGTGCCACTGCTGCATCCCCCCATTCGTTAGGGCTGTGAGCTGAGCCCATCAATGGAGCACACTTAGAAAACTGAGTCACAGTGCAAGGGCTGGATGCCACCTTCCACGCTGCTGCACGGCTACAGTTAACGACGTTTTAAAATTAATACATTTTCGACCTTTTTCTCTCCCAGTTTTGAGCCTTTCCAGGCAGGCCCCCATGTTCCCTGGCCGTGTAGGGCACACATCCCCCCAAAGTGCCATCAGTACCTGTCCCATCACTCTGAGAGCCTTCCAGGCATCAGAGGAGAATGAATCAATCAATTACGCAGGAGACACTTTAAAACTGTTCCTCTGAGGTGGCAAATATTTCAAAGAGGCAGCTCTATTAGATGGGCATTTCAGCCAAATCATTGCAATCCCTGCAATCCACTGAGAACAGTAACTTCTCCCTCTCAAACACTCACTGTTATCTCAGTTTCTGATTTACTAGGAATATTCTGATTCACTTAATCCCCACAACACCTGCAATGCTGATGGAGTTTGCATGCTCTCAGGAGTGAGACCAGGTGGTTTTCTCCACCTGCCCAGGGCTGGGTGATGAGATGAGCCACTTGGCAGCCCCCAGAGGCAGCTCCAGGGGTGCAGAGCAGGGGTCCCCCATGGGAGGCACCCGGGGGGGGGGGGGGGGGGGGGGCAGACATCCTCCTCCCATCTGCTCCTCTTCAATGTTACCCTCAAAAAGCCCCCACACCCACCTAAAAAGAAACGCCCAGGCTGCAAAATCAGCCTCTGGGAAAGCCAGTCACGCTTGCTCCTTCCACCTACTCTGCACATGCTGTGATGGCATCCTTAATGAAGGGAT